GCGGGTTACCGACCCCCAAAAACCCCAGGGGGGGGTGGGTTTTTTCGACTTGTGATTTTTGGCATTGTCGGCGCTTCGCGAGTCCGCCTAACTGCTGCTACCTCTGGGCTGATCTAATTCAGGGCATGGCTAACTCACAGATCGAACCATGAAACAACCTCTGGGCTGATCTAAGTCAGAGAACGGCTAACTCACAGATCGAACCATGAAACAACCTCTGGGCTGATCTAAGTCAGGACATGGCTAACTCACAGATCGAACTCTGAAACAACCTCTGGGCTGATCTAAGTCAGGGCATGGTTAACTCACAGATGGAACCCTGAAACAAACTCTGGGCTGATCTAAGTCAGGTCATGGCTAACTCACAGATTGAACCCTGAGACAACCTCCGGGCTGATCTAAGCCATTTGAAACCATAAATACTTCACCAATTTCGCTTACCCAGTCAGTCGCTTTGAACATTTTGAGATCAAGTGGATCCCCGGTCAACTCGCCATCAATCACTGTCAATGTATGACATGTTGCCATGGCAATCAATAAGGGCTCTTTTGGTAGGGTAGTGGCATCGGAAATCATCATGCTGAAACTGAGAAAATAAGACGAGTCACTAAGGAACCAACATAGACACAAAGAACACATCCAAATCTGCTTCCCCCTGCCACCCAGGGCCGTAACCAGGGCCGTACCCAGGGGGGAAGCACAGGGTGCACGTGCACCCCCCTTAAAAGCTTAAGGTTCGCTCATCTATCTCCTTTTGCTATACAATTGCATGTGAATGTTTTTTGATCAAATGAAGACAACTTTCCATCTGCATATTGTAGCATTTTTAAGAATCACTTACCCATTATCCCTTTTTCTTTTTTTGGTTCTGCTATTTATATATTTATTTTGGTTACCTTTTTTCTTTTTTTGGTTCTCCAAATCATTGCCTGTGCACCTCCCCTGCAAGATCCCTGGTTAAGCCCCCCCTCCCCCCCAAAGAAGGGAGCCTAAGATCAATATACTAATAAATTACTATTATTACATTTTTAAATAATAACCATACCTTTCTTTTTGGACAGCAACGACTCCAAGGATGTCCAAACCATCTTCAGTTAGTGTGCCAGTCTAGAATAAAAAAAACGTAAGCAATAGTTCTTAGAAATAGTCACATGAGAAATGAGGCAAGACTAGAGTCTAAAGACACACTTAATTTACAGGGGATTGTCTAGGGAAGTTTAGCAGCTGTTTGTTTTTAATAATCTCCTCACATTCACACACACACACAAGAAGTAAGAAAAGAGAAAAAAGAAAGCCTGAAAGCATGTGTCTTTCAAAAGAAAAACAGGTTTGACGATAGAGAAAAGGCCAACATTTTACTACTAACCTTGTGAACCCTTTCCCATACTTTCCATCACTTCCCCCTCCCCTCCCCCCCTTCCCCACACACACAATAAAAAACTACCTTCAAGGTCAGAGGTCGGGCAGGCATAGGGAGCCCAACAGGGTATTTTTACCTTGTCGAAACAAAASAGCTTGAGCTTCCCGCACATGTTGATCCTGGTATTAGAATAGACAAACAAAATAACTTATGAGAGAACATATCCACGAGACAGACAAAACACCAAGACAGAATAGGGCTTAGAGGAGAAACTGAACAAAGGAGCAGCACACTAACCAACCAAGCCACACTTGCTCCTTAAAACAAGTGTATAAGGTCACTAAGTATCAATCTATAGATTGATCCTCGGTGCTTAGACTAACCAATCCACACTTGCTCCTTAAAACAAGTCGGATAGGTGACTGAGGATCAAATGCCCTTCCCCGACCCAAACCCCTCCACTCTCAACCTACCTTGATGGTGAAATACAATATATCTCTTGTTTCTTCAATCTTTGCAGAGCATACACAGTTCCTACAGACATGGCTGCAGGCAATGCTGGTGGTACAGCAATAGTTATGACATCTAAAGCTTTCTTGATTATATCTGATGTAGACACCTAGAAAAAGTGGGCATTTTCATGCGTGTGAAGCAACGCTGTTAAAATGTATCCATTGTTTCAGCGAAAACCTTAAGTCTCTCAAATGCCAAAATGATAGAATACAAAAGTGTTTGTTCGGTTTTGAGAGTTAAAATATTTGAATTCTTAAGCTACGCCAAATCGAGAATTTACTCACCCCGTGTTCAACGAACACATATACACTGTATCCAAATCCAAACATCGCTAAAAGGGACGACAAATATGACATTAGATAACCTTTTTTCAGTATCCTAAATTTATCCTAAGTTTGAGGGTTTTTCTCTGGGTTCTCCAGTTTTCATCCCTCTGCTAAATTCCAAGTTAATTAATGTGAGTTAGCCATGCCCTGACTTTGATCAGCCCAGAGATTGTTTCAGGGTTCCATCTGTGAGTTAGCTGTGCCCTGACTTTGATCAGCCCAGAGATTGTTTCAGGGTTCGATCTGTGAGTTAGCCATGCCCTGACTTTGATCAGCCCAGAGGTTGTTTCAGGGTTCTATCTTTGAGTTACAGTAGCTGTGCCCTGACTTTGATCAGCCCAGAGGTTGTTACGAGGTTCTATCTTTGAGTTAGCCCTGTCCTGACGTAGATCAGCCCAGAGGTTGTTTCAAGGTTCTATCTGTAGTTAGGTGTGCCCTGACGTAGATCAGCCCAGAGGTTGTTTCAAGGTTTTATCTGTGAGTTAGCTGTGCCCTAACATTGATCAGCCTAGATGTTAATTTAGAATACCAATAATAATTTTTTTTCTTATTATTTGAATTTTTATTGGATGTCCAACTATTCCATTCTAGACACATGAATACCCGAATAGTCGAACTCTTGTTTATCGTTCAAGCCTT